TATGATTCACGCGCAGGTGACCATCCCTGGGCAACCCTACAGGGGTACGCACGGTAGAGCACGGCGGTCAAACGGTCACCGGCATTCGGTGTGACAAGAATCAATCGGCCGAAATAGGGAAATCTCTGCAATGACTTAGACGGTTTCTACTCGGATCGGAAGACTTAATAACAACGATCCTGCACGTGTAACTTCTGGCTGATTGGGAGAGTGGCAGTGAGACCAGGTAGAGACGTGAGTGGATGCCATGAAGACAGAGAGTCACTTATCGGCAGCGACCTGGGAAATCCGACAATGACGGCAGGAGTGGCTAACTGATTTCGTTAACGATGACCACAGCTAAAAGAACTCCATTTCAGAACGTAAAGAACAGTCAACTGCTTATGATTTACAGGTGTAAGCAAGATCGACAGGCATTCAGACACACCGTGAAACTGGAACGTAACAACAAGGCGTGTTCGTCATACAAGAAAGAAGAGCTAGCACCTTTCTGAGTTCAACATCACTAACACACATTCCTGGTTACAGATGAACTAGCTGGATGATAGGGAGTGTATCGCGACACACTAGGCAAAAGCTACTTGCAAGAAAGATAAGTAGGTTTCGCGTTCCAAAATACAAGTTAAATGCGGTGTGGTGCTAATATCTGCGGGTGTGGCTATGCACCGACCAAATAGGCGAACTTGAAAAAAGTTAATGGGCCACGGCAGAACTGTGATATGAGTAAGGGCACCTATCTACATATAAGGACGCATTTAATGTTTATAGCAATCCGGAAACTGTCGTGTGAGGTGGATGATGGCGACATACCGGACACATTCGATGAAGGCTAATTGTAAGAAAGGTAGGTAGTCTCCACGTTCCAAAACATAAGCTGAATACGATGCAGTGCTAATATTTGGGGGTGTGGCTATGCACCGATTAAATGGGTGAACATTAAAAAGGCCACGGCAATATTAGCATAAGGCTAAAGGCAACATTTGATGTCCAAAACAATCCGGAAACTTTGGTGGGGGGAGACGTTCTCCTTAGAACATATGATGTGCAAAAAACAGGTCGCAATCAAGGTGTTCCTTGAGAACGTAGTCCGACGAGGAATCAGCAGAATGATATTTGAAAGAGGATTGCGGTGGTCTTCGTAGATGACCCGAAAAGAGGTACTTTCTGCTAATTTCTGGGTCCTCCCAATAGTAAATGTGGACTCAGATCTAGGAAGACATCTACATTCAGTGTGGGAAGTTGGATACAAAGATGAAGCGTAACTGATAGATGCGGCGCACGAATAGGACAAGGGTGCAAAGACCGGTCAACCTAGAAGCCCGGTCTCTTTGGGTGCCGTCTAGACTGAGTCCAATCTACCCAGCGTGGTGTGAATAGGAAAAGTCAGAGATTGGCGATATAAAAGTTTTAATTATAATCCAATTTACACGTATTTCGCCACCTATCTTACGCAAGCTGTGACGCTCATCCTAAATGACTTGAGTTTTTAAGTACACTGTAGGAAATCCTAAAGATGCTGCAGCAATAGTGCAGTACACAGATCAACTTCCCAGGGGAGAAAAAGGTGGAAATGTTATTAACATACGGTGAACTGGGGGCGCTTCACTGGGGAGGTCGGTAAAATCGTCGGGCTCTTCTGGCTGAAGACTTGGGTACGACAACGCGGACACCTGAAAATGACGACCAATGTCAGAACAATCCAGGGATTAAACATTAAAGAGGCTACATCAGTTTCTGTTTTGATTGGCAATCAGAGCTCAAGACAGGTGGGTAAAGAAGATTATTTAACTGATCTAGCGGAGATGACTGCTAGTCTTTAAGGAAGATGACCTATCCCCTTAACCCTAACAAAAATCTTAAACCTAATTATAATCTTTCTTTAAGTTGGCGCAAGGTCACCAGTTTTTATTCCCGAGACCTACTGCTTTTATTGACCCCGCACATAAGCCCCGATGGACGTATGATTGGGGCTTTTTGAATAAAGTTTGGCGAAATTACATGATCCACTCACCAATCTTATACCCACTAATCACAAATGAGAATGCTAACGACTCGATTTGGACTGCCTATTGCAGACACAATTTATTGTGTGAAATGTAATTGACTGGAAAGGAATTTGCCGAAGTAATTGTAGCTTAATTAAATTTCTTTGGGTTGAAGGCAGTTGAACCCCGAGACCTGCTTAAGTGCACCTTGCAAATTATTTCCCTTCGGAATATTACCAGTCAGAACTAAAAGCACCCACGTCCAAAAATAATGAAAACTGTTCGGAAACTTGCACAGAGCGGAGATAAATGAGAAAAATCGGTAACACAGCAGGTATCCAGTAAGGGTATGAGAGCATTTCCATCACATAACCAAAACCAAGATTTTAAGCATAAAATGATCGAGAGTTATAGACCTTTAGTTTCAACATTATAATACATCACAGTGCGATTCACTGCAAAGCAACCGACTCAAGGTGGTGTCTGTTTAACCGCACTTTGCAAGTCAAAAAATACATTATATTGGGCTAGAGCCTGAGCAGTGAAGAAAAATAGTTTCATACACGAATACGAAAACTACCTCCTTAGACGGCGTTTTTACGTCGACTTTGGAATGCACAGTTTCCGTGTCACTGTCGTCGTCGGCATCAAAGCCATCCTCGTCTTCATCTCCGTCTTCTTCGGCTTCGTCGTCGATGAGGGGGTGGTGATCACGTTTGGTCCTAGACGCTCCGTGCACTGAATCACTATCATCTTCTTCTTCTGCTTCGTCGTCATCTTCTTCCTCGTCAGTATCTTCATCGCTGCCGTCCGAGGAACTGCTGTCAGCATCCTCGTCCCCTGCCGACCATTCATCATCCTGGGTTAGGAGCAACACAAAAAGTTCAGTAATTAAAAATGCTACTAAACCATATAAAAAACATCAAAGGTTGGCTGAATTTGTCTAGGGAAAACTAAGCGGGTGACAATGAAACATGACGGACAGAAATGGAGGAAACTACCAAGGGTACAAAGTGAATGGTGCATAGTACTGAAAATAGGCAAACAATAAAGTCAGCTGTGGGAAGCGCAACTAGTAATTATACGCAGCCACACTTACTAAGAAGGAAGCAGTTAGGGTGTATGCCAAGGACCCAAACCAGGCAATTTGAAGCTTTTTACTCACGAAGATGACAAAATGAATGAGCAACGTGATTTAAAGGCGAAATTACCTCCTCTGCATCGGCTTGTTCCGTATCTTTATCCTCTGCGG